CAAAAGATAGTTGAAAAGATAATAAACCAAACTGTAACACTCACATGCTTGTGCATGTCAAGATCATATGGGATGTTAAAGCATGATTTTAAAAATTGAATTGAGGTCCACTAAACAAAAGAAAGGCAATACATTACATAGTAAACATAGTAAAGGTTCTCTCTGCTAGAATGTCTGAATTACAGACATAGTCAAAATGCAAGATATTTTATACCCTTTCAAAAGGTAGTATGTTCCATAATTAAGACAAAAGTAATTTATTTTGTTTAACATATATAAATAATATTTCTATTTCTCTACATCTTTTTCCTAGCATATCAAAAATAATATTTTATAATAAATGTTAGTAAATATTCATGATTAATCATAAGTAAATTTTCGCAATAGAAATAAATATTACTTTCAGAATTCAATGAACTTAGAGTTCCGAAATAATCTAATCAATATACATTAACAGTCTACAACATTCCTGAGAAATGGCCACACAGCTCCTTTCAATACCACCAGAAGCCCACTACTTTACAATAGAACTCATTCTCCTATTGAACAGCTCTAGTTGTTTAAAAATATGCAGTGGAAATCTGCCCCCCAAAACATCCACTAAATTCCTGATGTTTCCTCTAGTTTAGGATCTTTTCAATTTACTCGGAGATGCTTACACAGAATCAGACTCTTCTGGACGAATCAGTGGCCTAGGAATTTGATTACATTTGAAATAAAGTCCTAATTAAAGTAGGGCATTACCAGAGAAATATCATTTGACCAGCCCCCAAAGGCCTCGCAGACTGTAGTGAACAATGGGTGGGGTCTAGTTCTCTGGTCTGTACAACAGAAGTTTGACCTTATAAAACTTCAGAATTGAGTGGACTGAAGAAAGTTAACATGTAACCACCTCAAAAAATAAACAGAAATTCGGAACTAGTCATTTCTCTCAAGTGAAATATGTAACTGTTAAATGGGTAAGATATTCATGTTGTTTTGTCAGAGCCGTTCCAATGTGAAGGCTACATAGAAGTCAAATTATTTTAAGAATGACTAGGCAGTAGAGCATCAGAACAAGAGAAATGGGTTAACTGGGTAAATATTTAATAGCATCAGAAACTAATAACCTGGTGCATCTGTCTCTGCACCTAGGACTCTGGGTTTGCTAGTTCAGGTTGGTTTTTTAAAACACACCAACTTGGGTGGGTGCAGTGACTCACGGTTGTAATCCCAGCACTTTGGGAGGCCGAGGCAGGTGGATTACTTGAGGCCAGGAGTTCAAGACCAGCCTGGCCAACATGGAAAACCCCCATCTCTACTAAAAAATACAAAAAGTTAGCCAGGGTAATGGCACATGCCTATAGTCCCACCTAATAGGGAGGCAGAGACAGAAGAATCACTTGAGCCCAGGAGGTGGAAGTTGCAGTGAGCCAAAATCACGCTACTGCATTCCATCCTGGGTAATAGAGTAAGACCCTCAAAATAAAAAACAAAAACACACCAACTTGGAAAGCACTTGGATAGAAAATACAACTTAACTTTCAGAACTTCTTTGGCCAACCTTTAATCTTTGTCCAAAGGGAAACATTCCTTTTTATAGAAATATGGATTTGGTCAAATTTTACACTAATATTTCTGCTTTGATCCATAATGTGTTCCTTTGGTAAATTAATTATCTAAACAACATCTTATTTTCAGCTTTTTAGGGAAAGGAATACAGGGGCAATGGTAAACACATATACACACACGCATGTACATACTGGACTGTATTGATTTAAGTCTGAACTTCTAAATCTGGCTTTGCCCCCTTTCTACCCACTTAACCTTACTTGACTTGCAGTAAGGTAAGGCCTCACCATTTGCCATTCTCTGTCTCTTTAGCTTTCCCTGTTTCTTTCCTTGCAAGCACCAGGGTAGAAACAATATGTGTAGCTGTACTATAGAACAGCCGACTTCAATAGCTCTTGACCGAAGTGTTGACCAGCAATGGGCATGAGCCCTATTAGCTCTGCTGCAAACAACTCAGATTATATCAGAAATTGTTCTTCAAAAGGTCAGGAACTCTCTAGAACAAACCATTTATAAACATGTAAACAGGAAACTAGTTGAGGATTTTAAACAGAGACATGAAGAGTTTCTACCACAGCCTCTTATCTATTTTAGAAGAAAGAGCACAACCCTTGCATTAAACCTCTTTTTTTAAATGGAGGACAGAGAAATCAATGTCTAAATCATAAGCTACTGAAGGAAACATGCAGACTTCCAGATATATATATAATTTTTATATAATTTAAAATGTTTAATGCTTTATTATTGCTTAATACCTACTATACATAAACATTAAGATCACAAACACTATGGTTCCTATACATGTTTGTTTGGATATTAGATTTCTGTGTTTCTACTCTTCTTAATATACTAAAATCTCATTTCTAAAATATGTCTTATTCCATTACTAGCAGTGGTTATATATTCAGGTTTTCAATCAACTGATTTACTTGTTTGGATTGACTATAAATTTGTTGACATATATTGATGATTCCTCATTTTCTTGCCCAGAGATCATTTCTTCTACTCATTTATTTTCAGTCTCTCTGCTTTCTTATTTGACAGTATCCTATGAGCAGCATAACAGAGCACTCCAAGCTCATAAGGAATAGTGTAAACTGATTACCAGATTTTACGATGGAAACTATTCCCTGCCCATGTGATCACCCTGGCTGGATAATGAACTTTGTGAAAATATCCATGTCTTACCACACTAAGGCAACAGCCTCATTCAGACAAGCTCTTATTTTTCCCTTATACTTCAGTTCATAATTGTGAATATGGCACGAATCCAGAAACAAACTGTCAGTATGGGATGAGGTACAGTGTTAAAAATAAAATAGACTAAAAACTGGATTTTCACTTTTAAAAATTCTTGATATTCTTTTGTAACTGACAGAAAGAAAAATAGTCCTAATAAGATGTATTTGAAAAATACTATAGCTGAAAAGACAGTGTATAACTGAAATTTAGGGAACTCACAGAAAATTTCCCTGCATGCAGGTGTTCAGAAGCACTGAGGGGTTACTAATGAACCCTAAATAGAAGTGTCAAATAGTTTGTTATGGGAAGAAGGTCCAGAAATAAAAGTGAAAATCAGAGCTGGTTCATTACACCGGCAGTGTGACTGGCAAACCCCACTGCTAACGTCTCCTTTAAACCGCAGGTGCATGGTTTGAGCGCTATGCTGTGTAGCCCCCGGCCCTGGCACAGAATGAACACAGCCTCCTCCATGGGTTCACAAATTGCCCTTCTTCCATTTTAGTCACACGTTCCCATGTGGGAAATTTCACCCAACACTACCACTTTAATTTTGGTGTATTTGCTTACTGCAGCTGCACTTGCTACCAAAAACATCATACCACAAAATTCCAAAGTAACTTCAAAGAAGAGGGAAGAAACCAAAAAAGTTCTATACATTCTTAGTTTTCTCCATGGAAGTAGTTTGTTCAGTTTAATAGCAGTTATCAATGTGGAAATACTGTAATTCAAACCAACAAAAAAAAATCACCAACCATCCTAGCTAAAGAGACACAGATAAGAAACAAACTAATGATTTAAATGTCATCTACAGGCTCTCTAGTATATTGATGGTAAATCCCTTACAAATGTGGGTGTGTAACATAAAATGTTGCCCATCATAATGATGCATATAAATATCTCTACACAAGAAATCACTATACATATTTTACAACTTTTTTCAGACTTTAATGTTTTACAGATGGCATCTGGATCTTAAAGATGTATAGATATTTTGCAGCTCTGTTTAATCATAAATAATACATTTGTCTGATTCATTAATACCAGAGGCATGTTTTTTTCTGCCAATGAATATGCTTATCATCCATGACTGCCAATAATAAAAACCCTTATATGGAAATAATCCATTTCATAAAAATAGGAATTCACTTGCCATTTTCCATTCCTGGTGACTAATTACTAGGGTGTTGAAGAGTACCTTCAGATTGAAGAGTGTCTTCAGATTGAGTTCATAAAAGCTATATTTCTCATGTGTTTGGGCAGAAATTTTCAAGAATGTTATATTTCAGATTTAGTGAAAGCTCAAGGCAAAAGTTTTATCATGAAATGAACATATTAAGACTCAAAAGACACTTAAAGATGACATTACAAATATGAAGCAAATGTATTTGGACTAACAAAGGTCAAAAAAATTCAAATACCTATGAAAACATGGCAAAACAAGTAGAACATGTTGTAATGGCACACAAAAGTGTTCATTTTAGTGTTTATTCTTTAGCATGAGTTTAGGTTTCACATAGCATTGTTAATATAGGCCAAATATGCATTTAAATATATTTATAGTATTCAGTGTCTACTATGTGAATATCTACATAAGTTATTTTGAAATGGCGTTTTCTTGTTCAATAGGTTTATTTTGGCAACAAAAAAGAATGTATGGATGCTAGTGAAAATCATGTTTGCAGTAGATTTTAAAAGCCTCAGAGAATACATTTGGTGAAATTTGCATTCGGTTTGAAAAACGTGTGTTTAACAATTGAACACGGCCATATTTTAACTTTTAAGCTCTCGTGTTGCGAAAGTATCAAGGTATTACAGCAATTTACTCTTAAGGACATTATGTTTGGCTTTGAAATTTAAAAAATAGGATATTTCTTCTTGGAGTATTTCATGATCAATGTACAGTCCCTATGCAAGGAAAATTAAAGCTGTCTGACAAGTCCTAGAAACACCGCTAGCTGTTAAAGACGTAGGAAATTGCATAAAAGCATAAAAAGCACTGGGTAATTTTGCAAATTTCATCTCTAAACACAATTGTAAAGATGTCTGTCTTTCAGTTCTTTCTTCCTCTTATTTCTGAAGCATAGCCCTTTAGTTCTTGCCATTTTAAAATCTTTGCCTACCATAGCTTTGCTTCTTAATGTACTGGTTGATCTTACCAGGCTAAAAAAGTATTTACAGGGGGTGCTTGCTTTTATCTGTATTCACAGAGAATGCTAACAAATTAGAAGAAAGTGCCAGAGAACACCACATACCTTGTCCGGAACATTACAATGGCTTCTGTATGCATGGGAAGTGTGAGCATTCTATCAATATGCAGGAGCCATCTTGCAGGTAACATGTTTACCCGTAAGCATAGTTAATGTATAAAGTTAATATGTAGAAACTAAATTGTGATGTTTATAGAAAATTGGTCGACATTCTTCTTGAATGGGTGATCAGCAACAAAACTTTTCTCTGCTTCTCCTGTGCATGTATACACACACACATGTACTCACACACTAAAAAACATATATATGTGCACCTTACACACTAACACATTACTAAACTCTTCTAGTAGAATTTAAAATTGTACTTTGTGCATTATAAGCTCCTTAAAGGTACCAGTTCCTCCATATTACCTCTCTTTCTCCTGAACACAGAATAGTACTTGGCATATATCAAGTGCTCAGTAAGTATTTATCAGACAAATGAATGGATGAAGCCTCATGTATTTTAGATAGCATAGTTGCTTCTCAGAGTTCATCTCTTCCTAAGTCCTTCAGGTCTTCTCATAAATATCATCAATCCTTGTTTTGCCAGGCATTCACTATTTTCTATAGATCTGCTCTCCCATGGAGCCTTGCAAAGTGAAATCATTAGCTATACTTCCACAGTTTCAAACTCAGTAGAGACACAAAGAAATTGCCTATCTGGATTTAGTTTATGAATATAAATACTGGCCAGGCATGATGGCTCACACCTGTAATCGCACACTTTGGGAAGCCGAGGTGAGAAGATCACTTGAAGCCAGGAGTTTAAGACTAGCCTGGGCAACAAAGGGAGATCCTATCTCTAAAAAAAAAAAAAAAATTTTAATAAAAAAATTAAAATTAAAAATTAGCCATGCAGGGTTGCATGCACCTGTAGTCCCAGGATCTACTTGAGAGCTGAGATGGGATGATCCCTTGAGCCCAGGAGTTCAGGCCTGCAGTGAGCTATGGTCACACCACTACACTCCAGCCTAGGCAACCAAGCAAGACCCCATCTCTTATATATGTACAAATATATATTTATTTAAATACCTCCTGTGTATTCATGTCTAAAATATAATTATTTCAGAGATGGCAGAGCCAAAATGAAAACATGATTTATTTTTATTTTTATTTACATTAAGTACAAGTGACATATGATGAAATAGGTTGTATTTTCATTTACAACAGAAAGTTTCTCTCTCTCTCTCTCTCCCCCTCCCACTCTTCCTCCCTTTCTCCACCCCTCCACCTAGAGCTGTCTTCCTTTCATGTTTTCCCTCCACAAAATATACTAGCACAGGCCTTCAACTGAAGTCAGGCAGAGTGAACAAAACTGAGAAGTTACTCCTGCTACCCGCTCACTTCCCAGCAGTGTCATTATTATTAAACCCTTCCTGATGGAGAGAAAAAAATTCTCAGGATGTAGTTATAAGAAATTCAAAGTGAAGTAATAGAATAGTCCCACAAAATCAATGACATGTTGATCCCCTTTAAGTATTGTTTTCTTATGAGCTATTTTCCCATTTAATAGACACATGCTAATTTTCATATGTAGATTGTCTACCTGAGCTTTCCATGAGGGTTGAGTGGGAGAGGCAACATTCATTCTCAGATGAACACTACCTCGTCTTGTTTTGCAGAACTATATTGCCTACACCATACTTACTTTCTTCCAACAAAATTTGACTCTATCATCAGCAGATGATTTTTTGACCAGAAAATTAATGACTCATCCTGTAACTCTGATCCTAGTACTTCTCAACATTTATTCTGACAATAGCATAGAGAATGTTTCATCCAAAACAAATAGACTAATTTTTATACCCATGTCATCAGAAACAAATATTTTTTCAAGTAAACATGTTGACTTAGGTTGATTAAAGAGCAAATTAAATAACATGTAAAGCTCACCTTCCAGAAAATATAGAAATAACAGTCATTCTTGGACATGTATCATCTCTCTATATTGTCACCAAAAACAAATTATCGAGTAATCCTCCGACCTTTGAAATTACTATCATAAATGTAAAAAGAAACCACATATCTTATAACTGAGAAACACAAAGACATCTTATTGAAAATAAGTAGTTGTGAGCCATAACCACAAAGTCATATTTATTTAGAAAGGGACACAAAAAGCCCTAATTTTGTGATGAAAATAAATGCCTATCGATCAACTATAAAAATAAAGGCAGCAGCTACAGGTAACTGGGCACTATAATTTCTTCCAGATGTGATGCTGGTTATACTGGACAACACTGTGAAAAAAAGGACTACAGTGTTCTATACGTTGTTCCTGGTCCTGTACGATTTCAGTATGTCTTAATCGCAGCTGTGATTGGAACGATTCAGATTGCTGTCATCTGTGTGGTGGTCCTCTGCATCACAAGGTCAGTAACAGCACTTGGTGGCTACCCAAATAAAGGGATATATTGTTCCTCCTTTATTTAATCAGATCCCTCTGAGTTGAGTTCCTTCATGGACTCTGTGGCCATCCATTCTCTATGAGTCCTATGTCCTTAGCATAAGAGTATTTGAATAGCCAGTGGAGTGGTACAATAGCATATTGGGGTGGTACAAATTATTTTCCTTAATTTTGCCTGATGATAAAGATTATTTATTTTTACCTACTTGAATTAGTATCCTTATCTACCTGGATCAGTATCCTTATGTACCCGAATCAGTTTTAACATATCTTGGTATAATAACAAACACATTTTTATCTTAGGATGACAAAATAGTTTTCAGTCACAAAATGCACAAATACATGTAGTTGTACTTTTATGGTAAATGAAAACCTTAGATACATAAACACATGCAGCAAATATCACAAAAAACTCTTATATCAAATTCCCAGCCAAATCAAAAGGCAATTGTTTCCTGGAGAATCAGGTTGAAAGACACAGGGGTTTCCTTCAGTTTCAACAGAAAGGAAAACCATGATTAATTAGCAATGTCTGACGTTGGGCTTGGAGTAAAGGAATGAGGCCAGTACTTGCTTAATTTCATTAGCATACAAACCAATGGTAACCAAGAATTGGACTTTAAGCCAAATGTATCATTTATGTTATGTATAACCAGAAAAGTCATTGAAGATAGTCCTTACTGACTTGATTTCACTCTTCTATAAAAAGTTCCAAGGAAGTTTCTAAGATTTTCACCAAATTCACAAGACTTTTAGACTTTCTTCATTTGTGCAGCTCTCCAGTAAATCAAAATATTTCTCTAAAAATTGTTTTGAACAGATACAAAAATAAAAGAAAGTATCATATCTTTAGAAAATAAGGGCCATAATACATTTCAGTATGGTATTGCACTATCTTCTTTGAGGACAAGTGTTGCATTTGCTCTTGAAAAAGATAAAATGTGGTTCATAAATCCTCGCCTGGACTAAAGGCTTAAGGGAAGATCATCGACTAAAGCTTTGGGCTGCTCTAAGCCGAGTTGAGTTCATCAACTCGACTCTCACGTTTAGATGCCAAGTGATTATATTAAAATAGATTCTGGGGAACATAAAGATAACAAGAACCCAAAAATACTGCATATAAAAAGAAAAAGAAAAGAATCTAAAACATAGGAAACTGTGCGATATTACTCTAATATCTAGCCAATATCAGTACATGAAAAACAAAGCCTATATTTAATGGATATAATCTCAACAATGTGATTGCTACTTCAACTACTGACACAAATGCAAAACTGTAAATACTTTAGCAGATGTTTTCAATTCTGTTATGAATCACAGTTGCATTCCCATACATAATAAAAACAACAGAAACATACAGGGTCCTTTCTTCACAAGAAATTGTGTAAGCGTATATTATGTGTGTGTATCATATATGTGTATACACATATACACACATATATATGCACATTTAATAACATTACAGAGAAGGAACAATTATCTCTGCTTTCAAGATAGAGACCCTGAGGTAGAAGTTGGCAAATTGCTGACTTTACACAGCTGAGCAGCAAGGGCAGAAATGGGGTCCAGGTGGCCTAGTGCCAGAGCCTGGGCACTTCACCATGCTCATATTGCACCGTGTCTGGTAAGGATTTTGTGTATTCTGATGCTCAAGATTATCTAAACTGAGTTCCAAATTGGAGTATTTTTCCAAGGCATATGGACTTATTCATTTTCCGTGTTATAATAAACTAAAACCTGTCCTCAATTTATTGGCTTTTGAGGGGAAGACATAGCACATAAACTAAATTAGTATTTTGTAATGCCTTTTACAAATCTGCCTTAAGACCATCAAACCTTCTAGAGCCTTTCCAGGATTCATACTAGTCAATAAAGCACACCAGTTCCCAGTGTGGATTCATTTCACTCACCTGAAAACATTCTGCTCTGAAACCAGACTTTCCAACTAGGCTATCTGTCCCCAAACCCCAGAAACCCTGCTTTCCCGATGACCTAGCCATATTTGTCTGTCAAGACCTATTTCAAAATAGGTCTTGCTAAAAGATTTACAAAATTGCAGCAAGCAGAAGTCCTCCCATTTCCTTTGATTTTTCTTCCTCATCTGGTCTCTCCTGTCTTCTGCCTCTCTCTTCTATCTCTTCTCCTTCTTTCTACTTTCTTTTTAAAAAAAAAATTTTCTGCTTTACTTTACTATTTTAGCCAAACACCTGCCCTCCTCCTAAACACCACATGTGTCACAAAAAAATGGACATTTGGAGACATGTTTCAAAATGAAACGAGTTGCCCTGTTGAGAAGTTGGATTTTTGATCCTTTTATTTCTAGCTCCCATTTGCTGGGAATGTGATTTCAGCTCCCTGTTCACTTTAACAGATCTATCCTCCGTCTAAAACTATACATATATATATTTATATACACCCACATACACACCCACGCATATATACATAAACCCACACATACACATATGATATATATGTGTATGTATATTTATATATTTTCATATATTCTGATACTTCACAGATTGTTACAATAGAATTTTATATGAACTTTCCATTATTCTCATTTGCATAGTCAAAGCATTTTTTTGTTACAAGAAAAAAAATACTAGACCAGAGATTTTCAGATAATTTGACTGAATATTAGATTTTTATAGATGCTAAATAATTGGTACCAATTTATGTCCCTAATCTATACTATTAAGGTACAAAAATGATATTAGGCTGGTCCAAAACAATGTTCCTTTCCATTACATATCAGATATTAACAGTTGGCTCATTCTCTGCTGGTTTGATAGGATTTAAACTCATAACATTGAAAAGTCAATATAACATTCATTCTTAGGACATTTAAAATATAAAATTGTTGAAGACCTTTAAAGTGAGATAAAATGGGCTCACGACTTGCTTGATTGCATTGTGCTGAGTCATTCTTTGTGCCTTAATGAGTAAGCAGTTAAGGACAAAGTAAATGTCTTCCTCTTCAGCTTCTGCCTGTGTTCAATTCCCAACAAAAACTTAAAGACAACTGCACAGAGAAGCAAAATAATAACTTTTCCAAAATAATCCAAGTTTCTACTAATGATAAATTCTTTCATCTGAAATATTTTAATAATTTGCTTAATCCACATCTTTGCTCTGTGATTGTAGGGCCAAACTTTAGGTAATAGCATTGGACTAAGATTTGTAAACTTTCCAACCTTCTAGGAAATGCCCCAGAAGCAACAGAATTCACAGACAGAAGCAAAATACAGGGCACTACAGTTCAGACAACACAACAAGAGCGTCCACGAGGTTAATCTAAAGGGAGCATGTTTCACAGTGTCTGGACTACCGAGAGCTTGGACTACACAATACAGTATTATAGACAAAAGAATAAGACAAGAGATCTACACATGTTGCCTTGCATTTGTGGTAATCTACACCAATGAAAACATGTACTACAGCTATATTTGATTATGTATGGATATATTTGAAATAGTATACATTGTCTTGATGTTTTTTCTGTAATGTAAATAAACTATTTATATCACACAATATAGTTTTTTCTTTCCCATGTATTTGTTATATATAATAAATACTCAGTGATGAGAAAAAATTGGCATTCTTAAATTTGCGGTATCTCATAACTGTAAATATAATCAGACTAGTACAATCTGTACAGCTACCAATATTTCATGTTTCTTCTCATCTTGAGACAGCACATTACTTTGTACAGGACTCAGTGGCTAGGTTTTGAGTGATTCCAAGATCAAGGGAAATGATGGTTATTGGAAAAGAGAAAAAATAATTTACTTTATATCGAGTGAGGATAAAATATTTCAGATCTTTGAATCATCTCTATTGCATCAACTTTCTTCCCTGGCCTTCCATTTTCATCCCTAGAGCAGAAAGATCTCTGGCATATAAACTAAATAAAAGACGAAGGGGAGGGAAAGTGTTTTATAACTCATAAAGGACAGGGAAAGAAGATATTGGTTTTTATTGGGGAAGTAGCTTAGAATCCCCCAGTTAAGTGCATGTATCTGAAGGATACTGAACAAGTTACATACTAGGTATACACAGAGTGGCAAAATATATTCCATTTAGGTGGGTGGAATTACCAGGGGAAAAACGTAATGATACCATTAAATGTGAAACACCAAAGTCGTGATTTCTCAAGAGCACCATACTATATTTATAGTATATGGTTCTTTGAAAAGAAGTTAGAATCACAACCAATACCCCACGAATAGTTTTATGGCTAATGCAGCACCGTAATTTGTAAGGGATGATGACAATATTTCATGAAAAAAGAGATATGTTTTGAGCATATTTATATGGTGAGGTAAGAAAGAAAATCCTACAGCATCTGAAAAACCTCACTGGGAAGTTGGTATGGATTTTTGTTTGATTTGTGCATACAAATAGGTATCACAACTTGGTTTGGAAAAAATAAGCTGTGAAAGTCTCAAGGAATAAGATGAAAATAAATCAATTATTATCATTTAGCTCTGCAAAGCTTTCCATGGCTAACACAGTAAATTTAAATAAAGCTCTCTTTGTCTCCTTCAAATAACCTGTGCGTGGACTTTAAAAAAAAAAAAAAAAAAAAAAGGACACTCCAAATATCCAATCAACACATTCTGAATATAAAATATTCAGTGAAAAATTATTTTCTGAAGTGATGTTTAAAATACTCGTTAAAACATAAATAAAGGTGACAATCTAAGTAGGATTTAGGACTCTGAAAAACCTGGTTTTCTAGATTAGTCATCACTGTGAAAAGTGTGACTCTATTGGCATAACCATCACTCAAATGTTCCCATAAATCGGCCCTATGCCACCTGTACAAGACAAATTCCTTTTCGCCTTCTTCGTGGAAGTTTAGTTTGGTTAACAGATAGAAAGATGTAACGAGCCAGGGTCTCCTTTGTAAGATTCTTGTGACAAAGAAACCCTTCCTCCTCATAAAGGAAGAGGAAAAAATGCAACATCCACAGAGATTTATAGAGATTAAAAGAAACAATTCCACTGACTCTTGCTTGTAGGAGTGTGAAATGATTTGATTTGTTAGATATGGATGCGTTGCTGTATGTGAATTTTTATCAAATGATCATAAACCTATGTCCTTGGAGTTCATAATATAATACACTCTTGCCCATTTCCATGCTCACCCACCCCATGAAGGAATTTCTTTTAAAAGATGCATAACAATCTTAAGTGAGCATATACTATGTGCCAGGCACTGTTCAAGGTCCTAGGGAAATACAAACAAAACATGGTCTCTGCTACCAAAAAAAAAAAAAAAAAAAAAAAAAAAAAAAAAATCTCACAACCTAGAACTAACAGATAATTACCCAGCCTCTACTAGCATATTTCTGATAATTTGGAATTTCATCCTTGGGCAGTTATAATTTTTCAAACAGTTCTTTCTCATATCAAGGTGATGCTTATTTCTATGTGCTTTCTACCTAGGGCTCCTATTTTTTCTCTTAGGAGCAAAGGAATAATGACTTATGTATTTAAAATAAAAAGACAGAAATCATGTTTTCCCACTCACCCCACAGCCTTCCTGCAACTCTGTTCATCTCTAAGTGAAACATCCTTAATTTCCTCATCTGTTCTTCATGTGATATCACTTCCACATCCTCCTAGCATCTGCATTGTCCTTCCTTGGACAATTTCTACTTTATCAATATATTTCTTTGAGTGTAGAGCTCAGAATTGCACAGTCTACTACAATTGTCTGACCAGCACGCTATGTAGTAGAACTTGTAGAAGGCAAGTTTAATTGAGAGCCGTGATTCTTAAATTCAAGTTCTACTTAGACCTGCAATTTTGCGGTGGTACCATGAACAAGTCATTTCATATCTCAGATCTCAGTTTCCTCGTTCAGAAGATCACTTCTGTCTCTCTATCAAGATTCTATATATTCAGGAAAAAGGCACTATATACTTTTATTATTGCTACCAAGGACCATATTAACTACTTTTATTGCTTATCCTCAACTTAAATTCAAAATTCTTTTAGAGTAAACTGCTAATGGCCAGGCATGGTGGCTCACGCCTGTGATCCCAGCACTTTGGAAGGCCAAGGCGGGTGGATCACGTGAGTCCAGGAGTTCGAAACCAGCCTGGCCAACATGGCAAAACCCTGTCTCTACAAAAAAAAATACAAAATGAATCAGGTATGGTGGCGCCACCTGTAGTCCCAGCTACTTGGGAAGCTGAGGCAGAGAATCACTTGAACTGAGAAGCTAAGGTTGCAGTGAGCCAAGATCGCGCCACTGCACTACAGCCTGGGTAAAAGAGCAACATTCTGTCTCAATAAATAAATAAATAAACTGCTAATATGCCATGTCATTCCCTCATTTACTCATTCATTCGTTGTACATTTATTGTAAATTTAGCAAGGGCCTTCAGTTACCAGCACCATGCTAAGTTACAAAAAGACAAAGATAAATAAGACAGAGTCCCTGCCTGAAAGGAGTTCACTATCAGAACATCCCAGTTCCTTGCTTCAGAGATCTCACAGTCCTGTGGGGAAGACTGAGAAGTAAATTAAACAATTATGAAGAATGTGACAAAGGCTCTGATACTGGTCAGCTCAGAGTGCTTGGGGACCAGGAAAGAGGAAGTGCGAGGCTGGGGAGGTGTCCTCTTGACAGTAAGATACACGGAATGACTTCTGCATTCTCCGCACATACTCCGACTTCTTGCTTCTGATATTTTATGCACTCCTCATGCTTTCTTCACACCCTTCTCTTCGCAAAACCCAGAACAAATAACAGCTTATCAGTGAAGCCTCTCTGATTCCCTTGGCCATCTTCCTAATTATCTCATAGTGCTTTTCATGTTGTTCCCTCATTGTCCATGCAAGTCTGTTTTTCCCTTAGCAAAGAAGCAACAAAGAAACAGAAAATCAGTGCCTTGCCAATTGTTTTTGTTAGTTTAAGAAACATTTACTGGATCCCACCCCATGCCAGACACTATTCTAGGTACTGTGATGTAGCAATACAGTGCCTAACAGGTCTCTGCTCACAGCCTCACATTTCAGCAGAGGAAGTGAAGGTGGATGTGGGGAGAGGGTTCATCAAACAACAACAACAAAAAAAAAAAACTGCAAAGTTTCAAGTTCTACACAAAGAATTAAAAATAGGACAAGGTGACTGGGTAGTGACTGAGGACTGGGTGCCTCCAAAGTGAGCATAATGTTTAAAACTTGGGTTCTGAAGCAAGGCAGACATGACTGCCAGTCGAAGTTTCACTTTACTAACTAACCTTGGACTAGTTGCCTAACTTCATTATGCCTCATATTTTAAATGGAGAGAAAAATATCTTCCATGTCTAATATGACTGGTTTGAGAAATGAACATGACAATCCATACTTGTGCTCAGAATAGTGACATGCACACAGTGAACTTTCAATATATGGAAATTATTTTATAGGGATTTGATAAATAAGTATCATCAAAGTAAATAAATAAGAAGAAACCATATTTCATCAGTTAAATGTTGCATCATGGGAATCATATGGTCACAGTTAGAAGGAATCAAGCAATCATCCTTACCCAAAAACAGCATCTCTCATCTCTTTGAAGACAAGAGAGCTGGTTTTGGTTCTGGAAAATAAGGCAATATAGAGTTAAGAAACAACGCAGCATCTCTAATTCTCTTTTTCAAATGGGTCCACTGGTATTGTGTCTGAATAAAAGGGAGGTCATTCTGCTACTTTAAAATAGATCTATCCTGATAAAGCACATACCATTAAACCTCTTGTGTGTTTTCAGACAGGGAATGAGTGAGTCAATATTACAGTGACTTTGCAGGATCAAAGTCTTTACTTGCATGGATCCTGGAGAAGTCACTGCAGACTATTGAAATATGACAGAGATGATCTCTATGTCATATCAGCCTCTCTACTAATGTTTGTCTTCAGATGCTACTTCCCTTTGCCAAAATTATGCAACCTCTGCACCACCTGTTGCTCTTCCCCAGTTAGAGTAGACATGTTAGTTATATAATTAATCATCTGGATGTCAATGATAAAAGGTTTTTCATTGAATTAATTGATATATGCATACCATCATCCTCAGGAAGCTCACATAAAGGATGGATAAAGGAGAAACAGAGGATGATACAAAGTAATGGGGTTGGTTTTATAACCAGTGCATAAATATACAAATGAATATGACCCTTCGAAATCAACACCAGAAAGTTATGTGTGATGTCCCACCTGCTACCCAGCACATTCAAAGCCTCCTTTCAGCCTCACTGTGGACAGAAATCTACTGATACTTCTACTCTGGGTATGGCACCTTGGTTGATATCTACTTCCAGTAATACTAAATGTGTTGTTTTAACTTGAATCTTTGGTACATTTTTAATTTTTAATTAATTTTTACTCTTTCTCTTACATCAGGTAAGAAATGAAGAATAGAATACGTTCTTTTATTTTTCCAAGCCAAATTTAATCCAGGACAAGAACCTAACTCAGAACTAATGAGAAGTCCCAAATCAGGTATTATAGGGGAAAGGGAGAGAGGGACAGGAGCAAATTCTGGCCCTCTGTTCTCAGTGGTCCCATTGTGGTGGCTAAACCTCCCTGTCTTCCTGA